TTTTATACACTTCGTTTTTATACAGTTCTTTGCCCAAGTGTCTTTCTCTTTTTTGTTTTATACACTTCGTTTTATATAATTTGCTTCAACTGTATATGTATAGCGAATTATACATTTTATATGTTTGTTTTGGAGCGCAATTATGCAAACTTTGTTATAGCATACAAATATAAATTTTTTATTTGCTATATATGAAAGTTGCCCTATTTATTAATACAAAGACCGATACGAAAAAAAATATTTTAGAATTTGTTTATTTGTTAATATATTTTATTATCAAACGTCATTGCTTAAGTACTTGATTACTGCTTTTCACTCTTTGTCAAAGCATTAATTATCATAGTAAGTATTATTTATTGATAGTCTTTGATTTACTTTGAAATATTGACTACTTGATACGAAATTAAACTTGGAATAATTATTAAGGAGAATTGATAAATATGTCATTATTATGAAATAAATTTTCCCCAAGGAACTAGAGCGTTGGATGAAAGGAATGACCAAAGATTATTACTTGAGAAAAACTCAAACTCCACCCATTTTATATTATCAATCGTGATTTTTAAAAATATATCTTAAATTAATTGTCATTTTGAAAGTCCAAAACAAAATTAATCATTTTCTCTATTTAATTATAGGTAGTAATTATTCTAAAAGATTATAAACAGCTACACATAAATAGAGAAAATATTTAATGAAAAGAGATTAATTACTTACATCTTAAGACGGTAAATAAATAACGATAAAATAGTCAAAGACAATATTATATCGTGTAAAAGAGAAACATGACAGATTCTTTGAATCCGAAAAGTATATAGAATTTTCAGCTAAAATTGACACATTTGATTTCCTTAATTAGGGTAACAAGAACTAAAACATCATTTGTTTCCAATTACCTACTGACTTCTCTAATTTGACAAAGTCTTAACTCAATGGTGTTATCATAATCTAGTAAGTCTTCAAGTGAAGGTTAATCAATTTAGTCTGTTCTTTTTAAGTTCAGTTATTTATTAGTGAATGTCATGAAGCAACATATAGCAAAACCAAAATAAAATAAAATCGAAAAGAATATTACTTTTATAGGGTGGCATTTTACTAGTTCTACTAATATTTATCCATAATTCATTGTGAAGCTAAAAAGTATATACTGTGTAATTTTTCGATAAAGAATATCGTGATATCAATTATCACCACAGGAATAATTGGATTAGATCCATCCGTATATACATCAAGAGAACAGCTAAAAGTAGAGTTTAAAGAATTCCTCAAGTTGATGAACTTTCCAATAGTACTATATATAGTGTACTTTATTAGAAGGTTTCAACAACTAAAGCTACCCATAATTAAATTGAAGTTTATTTATTATTTGAGGATGAGAATCCTTGAAGGTTTTGGCCTTTTTCTTATCATTGAAAGCAATCTGAATTTTAGGGGAATAACTATAGCCAGGAAACTTATATTGGGAAAATGCAATTTTAATTTGTATTAAATGCAAAACATGTGGAGTAATATTTGACTTTGCTTGCTCCTAACCAATCACAGGGCCTAGGCCATTCATGCCTCTCAATCAAGAGAAAATGAAATGTGTTTGGGATAATCTAAACAAAAATACTCCTTTTAACATAGTTTGATATGGTTCATTTTGTATCAATTATATAAGTTCCCTCATTGTAATTCTCGGATGTGACTTTCCTTATACGTCAGGTAAACATATGACATTTGAATCTAATTTAAACCCTAAAAGCTAACTTATTTATTCAAGCCCATATAAAGAGACTAAATTCTAAGATTTCTTTAACATGTTATACCTCTCTGGTTCCTCTTATAAAGGAACAACAGAGTGCATATGTCCCTCATGAATAACACCAACAAATGGCAAGGAAATATATAAATGACATATTCACCTTTTGAAGTGTCAATATATAGCGAATTTATTGAAAGCACATTATTTTCTTCAACGCATGAAGAAGAAAAATGACGTACAACTTTTAATTATTCCACTTGCCAAAGGATGCTTCACTTTAGAGACAACATTTAAGAATTTACGTATGGTGGAGAATATATATATATATATATACACACACACATTGTAATTGCATATTTACATAAGGCCATGATGTTTCTTTTTCCAAAAAATGTAAGAACAAAAAAATAACAGCCAAAACACAATGCACATTTTTTATCAATCTACCATATAATATAGTATCAATTTAAGTCTTAACAATATTTTCAAGTGGGGGTTGCTGCACCATACATATAGACCAAAATCCAAAGGATCTTTTAAAAGGGGGTGCTATTTCGTTTAATTTGTAATTCATAGTTTATTCGCTTCAAAATAAGTGTTATTTTAACTCATTTCATGTTCATTAAGAAAAATATAAATAGAGATATATGATTTACTTAATTACTTTTATTTATCAGATGTTTCATGAGAATTGTTAAACATCGTTGAAAAGAAGTGATAAATCATATACGAGTATAGTCAGAGGCGTATCTAAAGGGGTCATTGGGTTCCCGAATTCATGGTCTCCTCTCGAGATCATATATATAGTAGTGTTATATTTACGAAAAATATTGAGATATAAATGTGTGACTCACACGTGAAGGATCACAGAATGAGATTATGACTAGGTGTACCTCTCTCTGCGACGTTAGAAATTTGAACTTTATATTTATCATATTTTATTTTTCTTTCTAGAATTAGATAACATTTTTCTAAGAGGTGATTGGTAATTAATTTTCGACCTGTAATTTTAAATTTTAATAGTTTTCAATTGTAAAAATTTAAATGTCGAATCGATTAAATTTATATCATAAATTAACTTTTTTATAACAGTACACCTATCATCTCGAAATTCTTAATATGCATATGTAGTTGGAAAAATATGCTACTAATTCTTATTTTAAAATTTTAAAATGACACTTTTTTATGATATTATTTTTTCAAAAAAATGACACTTATTTTATAACAGAGTAAATAATAATTTAACAACAATGTCATGTCCATAAGAAGAGAAGCCCCTTGCCTATTCCATGTAAAGCTTCTTAAACCCTTTATATGATGAAAGTGTATTATTTACTTTTTTGAGTCACACATATGTAAATGCATCTTTTATATTTGACTTTAATTTGGTCCAATGAGATAATAACCAATGAGGGAGGTAGTATATATCGATAATCGATGAGACCACTCATCATAATGATATAAAAATAAAATTAGGATTCAATTTATATCCATAGTAAATTAAAATTTCAAATTGAAGTTAGAAAGTCTATTCAAATCTCATAAACAAAAATATAATTTCAAATCAAAACATTAAAATTCAATTAAAAAATTGTATGATGAAACACTTATTAAGATTTTTGTAATGAAATATTTTAAAGTGATAGTCAGAAATGGATGTAACAGTTGTATACGGATTCATCAAAATTCTAGATTTATTAAATATTTATAAATACTTAAGTCATAAATTTAATTATTATTATTATTATAATATTAACTTGCGTAGAAATTCATATTGTCTCGGGTGACAGGTGACTAGTGATTAAATGTTATAGTTACATAATTATAATTTATAACTTATGCAAAGTCCGAAATTAAAAGGTAAAAAGAAATTGTCAAAAATTTCAAAAGCATATATTAACTTTTTTTTTAATTAAAAGGGCAAAATCGCTTCTCACGGAGCCATTTGTTTCTGACAAAATTAAAGTATTAATTTTGTTAAAAAAACATAGAAATCGCTACTGTAGCAGCGATTTTTCCAAAAAAAAATAATTCCTTAAATCGCTTTCGTAGGAACGATTTGTCATTTTAAAAAAAAAAATGCACCAAAATATTGTCGGCCTCTATTAACTTTTTTAATGAAAAGACAATTTCAATATTTTTTTTTCTAAAAACACTGCAGTTACAGCAATATTAAAAAAATGTTTGAGCGATTTTACCCTTTTGATTAAAAAAAAATTGATATATCCTTTCAGAATTTTTTTTATCTTTTTGACTCGGACTCTATATATATGGGTCTATTTAGGATGAGATGGCAACTGGATTTTCTAATTCATCCTAAGGAATAGTCAAGTGTTGATTGAGGAGCTATTCTGTCCTACCGTTTTATTGATATATGTATAAATAATAAATGACAACTAGGATTTACTTAATTAATTTATCTTTAAAAAAGGATGATCCTATCCTTGAGATACTCTAAATTATATATATATATATATATAAAAAAAATCAAATGTCGTTGAAATGACTACCCAACATATCACTTTCATAATATATTCACAATTAATAATATATAGAAAGAGAGCCTTGCATGAGATGTACACCAAATTTATTATTTTCATCGTATATACATAACATTTATTAGACTCTGCAATACATCATATTATTAGAAAATCAAAGAAATTGGCCTGACCAAAAAAAGAAAATATGATAAATATTTCTTTTATGAAAAGTTATTAGTCTTTTAATTCATGAGCAAGTGCATGAGGGATTTTGTTTTATTACTCTGATTAAGTAAGTAAAAACTTAGTAAAATATGAAAAGCTTGAAGCACAAGAGCATGAGTGCATCATTAATATATTGTTTGGTATCAGATTCCTTTACAATTGTGTTAAAACTATTATTTATAAGTTATCAACCAATAGAAAAACTTCACTCGAGCCCAAAAGTTGAATTGCTAGGAACTTTACACTATCATACAACATTAAAATTTCCACATTACAAAAATTAGCATTGTTCTCATTTTTACATTACAATCATAAAAGGATCATCTTGTTGACACCCAATTTTTGACCCGCATTGGTATAAATTAATTATCGAACTTCGTGAGCTTTTAAATTATTTAAAGTTAGTTAGTTTTATAAATCTTGCGAAAATAAAATATATGTACATATATACATATATGTATATACATATATGTATATGTATATATGTATATCTTAAACCCATTCCTTTACCCATCAGCCCACTCTTATCCCCAGGCCCAATTACCCCTCAACCCAACACTAACTTAATTGCTTTCAACTCAACGCTGTCAAGCCCACTCCCAATTTCAGACAATTAGTTAATTTCCAAGCCCAAACTCTTAACAGCCCACTTCATTGCTTTTAAACAACAACCCAATCCAACTCCATTCCTCATCCAACCCAACACCAAACTTAAATAACCCGCCACCCGACCCGACCCAGACAACCCTTTCCCTTTCTTCTTCCCAAACGCTCACCTAATTCCCAGAAAGAAAACAGAAACCCATAATTCCCCAGAAATCACGCGAAAAACAGAGAAACGCCAGCAACCCCATCGCGTCTCTCCCCGCGTCTCCCTCACGTCCTCTCTCCTCTCCTTCCCTCTCTCCCGCGTCTCCCCCACGCTCGCTCTCTCCTTCCCCTCTCGACAGAAACCCAGAAAAACAGACCGACTCCTGCAAACGCCAACAGCCCCACGCTCTTCTCCTTCCATATTTCTCTTCGCGTGAACCAGACGGAAGCGCAGAGACCCATACACTGTCGAGTAGGTCTGCGAGGTGTCAATTTCATCCTCTCCAACAGGCCTGTGCCATGTGAAGTTTGACCGAAATGGGATTTAGTTTCGAATTCAAAAGGAGAAAAGGGGGGCTATTCCTTCTCCTCTATAAATACCCCTTTTCTTCATCACAAAAGGGTTAGAGAATTTTCATCGAAGAATTCGGAAAAAGCAGAACTTGGGTTGGATATTTTTTGGAAATTTGGTCGATAGTTTAAGTTGAATCGTTGGTTGAAACTTTGTTAACATTTTAGCATAAGAATAGTCCAGTTCTTCAGCTTTCCTTACGCACTTCGGAAGAGTTGATCGATCCATCGGCTTCCTTCCCTCGTTTGGGTGTTCGAGTTGTCATTCGTGGCAGAAGCAGTTCGCACCTGCTCGTATCGTCTCAATTCGTTGCTCGTCAACAGGTAATCCCCTACTTCGCATAACTTTCTTGTTTCTTTCGTTTCGAAATGGCTTCTTCTAACGATTCGTTTGGTGATGACGATTATGAAATTTGAATACGAATGTGTGTTACAACTGACTTGTTAGTTTTCTTATAGAGTCTATTCGCTGAGTGTTCTTTAAGTTGTTTATGCTTGTATATTTCATGATGCTTTTTTTTTTCATTCCCCTCGTCTTAGGTTTGTTAGTAAGTGTTAGTTATGGCGTTTGTTCCCCATGTTCTCTCGGTTTCTTGGTGTTTTCAGCTCAGTATGAATAATGTGCAGTGTCATGATTTTTCTCTCATGAGTTAACATATATAGCTGCACCTGGTGTTCATTAATGTGAATTCGACTGTTCGGACAGTGCATTTTCAGTTTAGTTTATCTCCCTTTCTGTCTTCACTTTAAGTTTTCTTTGTGTCCCCTGAAAAGTTCTCTTACCATTGCTTAATGTGCTGTCCCTTTGGAGTCGCTTGACATGCCCTGTTTTAAGAGTTCTTTCATCAAATGTTGATTCTATGTGTACTCTAAGCATTAAGCGTGATTCATGTGATGATGGAGGTTGTTGTAACGTTATACATTGGTCGTTATAGGCCTCGACTCGAGTTCGTATTTGTGAGGTTAATTAATGCGTTGTTTGGGGTTGTTGGTGTCCAATGTTTGTCTCTCTTGGTTGGTTCTCTTTAATAAGTTTCTTACGTTGCTTGAGCTTGTTATTCGAACTCAAAAAAAAAAAAATTGGTTAGGGAGTTTTGAGGTTTGCTTCAATAAGCCAAGGCACTGTTATTTGCTTTTCTTTTCTTAGGCTTGGGATGATATGTTGGTTTCATGTGGACAACTCTTCTTCTTTTGACTTCTACATCTTAATGAAAGCATGACTTCCCTTTGTTTCAAAGCATACTTTAGTTACAATAGTTTATGTGTTGTTGTCTATTGCTATCTTCGAATTTGCCGAAGGTTTCATACTTATGTATGTCTGAAAGTCTAAAGAACTCGTTCTTGCCTAATACTTGCTTTGTTGAGGATCTTGTTTTAATGATAATATTTAAAGGCTGTTGTTAATCCTTTTCTTTTGTTTTTTTTTCATTACATGTGACATCGATTCGAGTCCGTTTCGGACTCCACTCCCGCATTCCTCCGAGTTAAAAGATCTTTGAGTCGGCCCATCTCAAGTCTAGGAGGTCTTAAGACCCATTTACAGGTCGAAATCCGACATTGGAGAGCTGCTGGAAGTAGCAGTTTGCAGAATTCGACTGCATGTTTTTTTTTGAAGCTGTAAACCAGCTATATACATCTGATATACACTGGTATACATGTCGAAAATGTACAGGAAATCCGAACTCGAAATCTGGGTTTGTGGCAGTGAGGATACGCTTCGGAAAAGGAGTTTCAACTTTCGAAAGTTGAAAATCAGGCTGATATACAGCCTGTATACACTGATATACAGACACGATATAATATAAATATGTGTAAAAAATGTGAATTGCAGGTTAACGTACGGGGACGCCGATTTTAAATAAAAGACAGGACTAGGCAATGAATACGTACGTAGGGTGCAGCCCTTATACATTAGTATACATCTTTTGGGCGACGATATACAATTGTTAAACAAGTTTAAAAAATGATACAGGTAAATACGCAGAAACGATATGGGAAATACAGGGTAAATCATGAGAACTTGTATTCGAACAAATACAGGGATTAAAAGTCCAATACGGATTGGATATATACAGTATGCCATCATTTTGTATATTTTAATTTCTTTTCAGTAGATGAGCCAGGGCAGCAGATTTTTAATAGGCCCAAGGGGCTAAATATTTTTTTTTTTTTGCAGGATGTTAATTGGTAAAAGGCCCAAATCTAAATTATTGGATTAGGACAGGTGGGCTAAAGCCCAATTGAATGAATTTGGGCAATTAAGCCCAAGTTCAAATATTTTTTCTCTTTGTTTAATATTTGTTTGAATTGATTAGTATTTTGGTATAATTTAAATAATCTCCTAAAGGGTAGCCATGTTTTATTATTTTAAATTTTACTATTTTATTTACTTATTTCATTTCATTTACTTTTATCACAAATTAGTTTTTCTTAAATTAAATCCCTTTAAATAGCTCCTTTAGAAATAAAAAATAGTAATAATAATAATAATAAATATTAAAATAAATTTTCTTTTTACTTAAAAAGTCATTTAGTCAAATCGCCGGTCAACCGCAAGTTAGCGGACATCCCGAGGGCCTAATACCTTCTCGGGATGTACATTGAACTTCGAACCTTTGTTTTTCAATTGATTTTAATCTGTTTTAAATCTTTTGAAATTTTTCTTGATTTTATCAAAATCAAGTGGCGACTCCGTAATTCGAAAAGTCGATTTTTCTTAAATAATAAGATTAATTGATTTTTCGAAACCTAGTCAATATTTTTTTATTTTTAAACCAAAAAATAGTTAATAGTAATTTTTAAATAAAACACCATCTCACTACATATATAACAAAAACATTACTTAAAACTGTTTACACAAATGCATTTTAGCAATAGATATAACCAACATATCAGAACCAATGAAACAAATGAAAACAACTACTTATATTGATTGTCTTACAACTATTTCTCTGCTTTCTCGCGGCGGCTCATGAAAACACTCGTCAGAACTGTTTTCGACTCCAAAGATGCCTTCAGCAACTCCAGTGCCTGCATAATAAGAGGAGTTCACTACTTAACCGAATAGAAAACGATAGACAAATGACACAGAGCAAAATTTACCGAGTTTATTTCACACACACCCAATGTAATCCCAACACTGGGGTTTGGGAAGGGTGGTGTACATGTACGCAGACCTCAAGAGACTTGACAGTATAAAAAATCTTTAAATTGTGAGGATAAGTGATTACCTCTTCCACTCCGAAACTTACAACTTCCTCCTCTAGTACACCAACATCCCTGACATTAAACTTGTTGAGAAGAGCAATGCAAGAGATGGTGGACATGGGCTTGACTACCAAGTCATCTGCCACCATGTATGTCACAACATCCTTCACAAAACCCCCTTTTCCTTTTGCTTCCACAGCTCCACCTGCTACTCGCGGAGCAGCATAAACTAACTTATCTGACATAGTATGATTACAGATTGTACAGAGAGCAGTAGGGTCATCAGAAACAGTTAAGTGGGAACTAGAGTAGGAACAGCCGTAAAAAGTCTTCTCACGTGTCGTAACATGGCCATCAAGCAATAGAAAAGGAACTGGAGAGATCCCAACTGAAGACTTGGGTTTTAAAAGGATATCCTTGCATTGGTTCGATTGAATATAGGTGTCCTTCAGATTTTCTACACTTTCGTAGAGGTTAGGCAAGGAACCACTCATTCCTTTCTCCTTAAGAAGACTGATAACGGTTCCAGCAGGCAATGAGAGAATGTGAAAGAGGAAATCAACACAGTCCTTATCAGCCTCGGCAAATAGGACTTTGCCAGCCTTGGTGTCAATCAAAAGCTTCATGCTCAATTTAGTATCACAAGTAGTCGCCATTTTGGCTCTGAATGTTGAGGATCTACACTTTATCAATGCACAAACACAGTGAACAAAGAGAGCTAAAACAGGACAATTTACGCTATGTAAACTTGACTTTCATCGAGTCCCTTCCTGATCATATTATATGCAGAAAAAAACAGAATGTGTATAATTTCAATTGCACAACTATGATTGTGTGGGGTTCCAGCCCCATTTCCCATTGTTAAAGTCAACTTTGCTGCAACTTGGTACAAATCTCTATAACCATAACATCATCATTTTTTTCAAACCAAATCTTACCAAGAAACGTACCAAAATTTGAAATAATGGTTCTTTCATGTTGTACATCGTAGGTACTAGTTTTTTCTATAATTAGAGCAGTGTTGCTCATTTGTAAGAACAAATCAAGATACAAAGAAAAAATATTTGAGAGCAAACTGCTGCTTTTATATATACTATACAAGAAAAATAAAGTGTGAGCAATATTACATAAGGTGTTCACTTTGAGTATTATATTCATGATTACACGGCATAAAAATTTCTCACTACTTGACCCGTTATTTTTCCACTATTTTGACCACATATATATTTTTATGTTAATCTTCCCCAAAATAGATAGGTCCTATGTTATCCCAAGAGACAGGGCTGGCCAAAGGGTCAAGCCTCTAAAGCAATGGCTTTTCATCCAATGTTCGATATCTTTTCCGATTTAGATAAATGCATATACACTAATCAAAGTTCTCTTCGTTAATCTCATACAATGTAGAAACACAAGGAGTTTGCAATGAAATGCCCAGTTGTGCACTGCAATAAAGTTCCCATTACCCACTCTTACTAAACCATCTTATCTAAGCCTTACGATTAAAGTATGAAACCAAAATTACATTCTTAAATCTTAATTCTATACAGATATACTCTTTACAATCTACCTCCTTAACCATTATAGGAGTATGTTCTATCTAAAATAAGATTACAAGTCAGATTCTATCACAAGAGAGAATGCTTCTGTACAATTGTTAAATTTTACCAAAGATTTTTTCAAATTACTTAAAAATAAATTTCATAAGCAACTTTTCAAGTTCATTATTTATTCCCCACCTACCCAATACTGGTTTAAATCATATTAAGAAATTAACTAAATGGCTAAATATCTATAAAATTATACAAGCAGTTTATAAGAATTCTACACCAGAAAACTTACCTGCAAAGTAAAGGTGAAATATTGGAGAGAGAAACCCTACGATCTTGAGAGAGAAAATGACGATTCGTTCCGAAGTTCCAGAAGCTTCTCGAATTGCACAAAGGATTATATGTATTTCCGCAATGAAAAAGTAAAAAATTAAAAATAATGAGTTAGGACTTGGGCCTATAGGCCAGTCCACTAGAAATGAATATGGTATTGATATACACCAAATTATGACATTTGATATGATATATGGTATTCCCTTCGTTTTAAAAAAAGAAATTTTCACATATAACCACTTAAAAATAATTAATTATTTTTCATAGCTATATTTTGATAATTACGATTTGTAGCTATATGTTATATGAAGGAGAGAGGCGAGCGAGACTGGGAGAGAGAGGAGAGAGGAGAGAGGTGAGAGAGAGGGGGAAAAGAGTGGGAGAAAGGTGAATTGTAAATGTATATTGGTTAGATAATTGTATATTATACATATGCAATTGTATATATGATAAGAGAGATTGGGAGAGGGAGGAGAGGGGCGAGCGAGACTGGGAGAGAGTAGAGAAAAGCGACCGAGGGAGGAGAGAGGCAAGCGAGTGGGAGAGAGGTGAATTGTATATGTATATAATTGTATATTATACATATACATTTATATAAATAGCAAGCGAGATTAGCAAAGGGAGGAGAGAGGCGAGCGATATTGGGAGAGGGAGTAGAGAGGCAAGTGAGAGGGGGCAAAGAGTGGGACAGAGGTGAATTGTATATGTATATAGGCTAAAAAATTATATATTATACATATTTATTTGTATATCCTGGCGAAGTATACATATACAAACATGACTAATTATACAAACTCGAAGTCAGCCGACGTAATTAATGTATAATGTTAGTCGCGAGTGGTAATTATATCAAACTATAGCTATGATGAGTAATTAAATAGTATAAGTTTGTTTATTCGCGTAATTTTCTCTTTTAAAAAATATGACTTAGTTTTACTTGGAATGGAGTTTAAGAAAAGAAAAATAACTTTTTAATCTTGTTGTTCTAAATTAAAGTTATATCAAATGTACCAAAGTGTCATTTAATCCTGTGGTCTTAAACACGTCACTTAAAAAATTAAAGTTTAAGTGTTGCTCATTTTTTTTGAACAGACTAAAAAGGAAATAGGGTCAGATTTTTTAAAAAGGAGGGACTATATATTTTAGGATAAATAACAGAAATTTCACATTTAAGTTCTCTTGTTACTATAATCTCAAAATTCCTCATTTTCATGCATCAGATTAATGTAGCATCGCATCATATTAATGTATCTCGCGAATCATATTAATGTATCATGTATAAAATGTAATGTATTTTACTTAACGATTAATTTATCTCGCACATCAAATTAATGTATCAGCGCTTATATTATTGTATCAATTTGAGGGATGATTATAAACTTATAAGGGGCAAATGATAATTTTATCTTAAAAGTATGTGATTCTAATCCTTTGTCCTGTATTTTGAACTTTTTGATATTTAGTATTGTATTTGATATTTAATTTAAAAATAGAAAATAACATATCAAAGTATTTATTTACATAAGTAATATGTAAAAACATACCTACTTATTACGTAAATTCAAATAGTTAACAAAATCAAATTTTGAAATTTTTTAATGAACCTTTCCTTATTGTAATCATATATACCTAAAAATTTAACTTAAAAATAAATAGGAATTTGACGATAGAATTGGACTTGTCTTGAGGTATCCTATTTTAAATCTAATAAAAGTTGAATGTCTAAAAAAGACTATATAAGATATACACCATAACATACGAGCTTTTCCCTCTCAGATTGCGGCGACCAAATTGAGCATAAAGCTTTTGATTGACAGTAATGCTAAAAAAGTAGTATTTGCTGAAGTTGAAAAGAATTTTGTGTTGGCTAAACTTGTTAAGGAAAAAGGAATGAATGGATGTTAGGGAGAATGTGGATAGGAAGATATGATAATAAAAGCGGAATGTCCTTTTGTAATCTCTTCAATTGTTTAATCACAATGTGTTCTTTTGTCATAGAAAGTGTTCACCCCAATTTCTATGTCGATGGTTGTGCCGGATGTGGTTCAACCTGCAACTGACAGGCGGTTTTGTGATGGAGACAGTTAAATACGGTTATTGAGATGAACGAACAAATTAGTGTATCGTCTTGTCAAATAATAATAATAAACATGCAATGAATTGGTGACGGTTCCCTATTTAAGCTGATAAATTGTTTTTTAAAACAACTATTCATTCTCTTACACCAAGGCTAATGTTTGCTGAGGTTGAAAAGAATTTTCTGGATTTCTGTTTCACATCCTTTTACTACCAGTGTTGTTTGTCAATAAGCTTCTAACCTCTAGAGAATTTGGATGTCAACTATTTGATATCATTTGAAAACCAACTTGAAATCTCTTCAATTCCTCTACAATGGTTTAGTTTTTTTATAAATGTACCAAGTCAAACAGTAACACTCTTCGTCGAATAATTATACTGTATGTATATGATATAACTCTCTTCGTCAACTTTTATTTTCACAAGTGTAAACGAAGTATATATTAAAATGAACACCTCAGCACATGTGAAAGAGGCTAGCTTAATGGTTAAAGAGGGTTTAAGAATTCAGTTTGATGTCTTGTGTTCAATTTATTTTTGTATTTTATTCTTTTTATCTCTATTGCTCATTTTATTTTTACGCAACACTCTGTTTATATACTAATTCAAAGTAACTCTTTAAAAATCTACCAATTGTTATTTAACTTGAAATCGATATAGATTTTCTTTTTAAAAGATAAGGTAATCGAATGACAAAAATTTGGAAGGCATGATCTTTCTTTATCGATTTGTTTTGCTCTATTTTTTATTTACTATTTTATATGGGGAATCTCTCCTCAAAATTTTGACTCCATTATTAATCGTGAAAGTAAAAGTGAACGAAGAAAGTAAATTACACGTTGTGTTTTTTATATTTTAATAAACTTACTTCCTATGTTGTTAATTATTTGTTAACTTTTAAATTGACATATCTGTTAAAAAACTGAAATGAGTCTAAAATACCTTTAAAATATCAGAAAATTAGGGGCGAAATTTGACCTTTTGTATAATTAATATATATATTGCCAACTCCTTGAATTCTCCATTTGATTATGATTAGTGATAATAATCTTGATAAGTGTAGCGTTTTGTCTTGGGGAAATATTTCATGATGACTGTTAGAGTACTGGTGTCAAGAATATGATGATGATGAAGAAAATTCAACTATTTATGCATAGGATGTCGTCCAGTCTCCAGAATACACACAATATTTTGTTTAAAAACTTTTTAAGCTGAACCAATCAAAATGACTACTTGTGATTCCAAATTGAGTTTGAAGCTTTTGATTGACCCCAAAGCTAAAAAAGTCCTATTTGCAGAGGCTGAAAAGGATTGCGTTGATTTTCTGTTTCACATTCTTTCATTGCCAGTGAGCACAGTTATCAGGCTTCTCAAGACCAAAGGATTGAATTATGGGTGCTTGCCTAACCTCTACGATAGCGTAGAGAATCTAAACGAAACATATATTCAGTCTAATCAAGACAAGAACATCCTTTTAAAACCAAAATCTCCAGTTGGGATATTTTCTGTTCCTTTTCTAGCACTTAGTGACGTTCCTGCACAAAAGATATCTTATGGATGTTCTCGTTATGCATGTGGTTCCAACAGTTATAGTATTTATTATGTTACGGATGTCCCTAATTCTCAATGTCCAAATTGTGAGTATCCTATGTCAAGAAAGTTGACGTATCTTGTTCCACAAGGAGTGAATAAACCTGTGGGTACTACAGGCACTGGTTTTGTAAAGGAGGCAGTGAAATACATGGTGATGGATGATTTGGTCGTTAAGCCTATCTCCGTTGTATCAAGCATCACCGCTCTAAACAGTTACTTTAATGTCAAGGATGTTTCTTCCTTGCAGGAGAAAGTTGTAAATTTAGGAATGAAAGAGGTATTCAATTCAATTGTATGTATACTCTTTTATTCATTTGGTACTACGAATTCTAGTTGATTACTCTTATCATTCTTGCAGGCGCTGAAGTTGCTCAAGGCATCGTTTGAATCAAAAACAGTTCTGACTAGTGTTTTCATGACCAGTGCAAAGCGAAAAAGAGCTTTGTAGAGCTATCAGAGAATAGGATATTAGACATGAGGGAATGGGATGTTTCAGTTTATGTAATTATCAATTTTAACTAGTGGTGGTTTACTTTTGTTTTTAGGTTCAGTTGTATATTGCTTATAATAATTCTGGTTTCAAAAGTTATCCAGAGTTAATACCTTAGATGATAACTCAACTATGCATTTTTCTTTCAGAAAGTTAAACTTTCAATTTTCACTCAAAAATTGCTTACTTTCTCAGAAAGCCACTCAACTTTAAATTTTAACTCAAAAGTCACTCAACTATTTACTCTTTCTTCAAAAAGTCACTTAATCTATTAAAATATATTTCAGTTAAAAAATTTTGATATTTATTATTTATACAACAAATTAAAAAATTTAAAAAATAAATTAAACCAAACTCGACCGATTAAAAAATATGATATGACTTATTTTATTTTGTCTTTATTCCTAAATAAATCTCTCTTTTTAAATCTTGAATTAGGATGGATCACTAAATGATTTAATTTATTTTTTAAATTTTTTGGTTTGTTATATAAATAATTAATATCAACAATTTTTAATTAAAAGATAATTTAATAGATTGAGTGACTTTTTGAAGATTGAGTGAATAGTTGACTGATTTTTTAATTAAAATTCAAAGTTGAGTGACTTTCTGAGAAAGAAGTGCATAGTTGAGTGAATTTTGAGTGAAAATTGAAAGTTGAGTAACTTTCTGAGAGAAGAGTGCATAGTTGAGTGACCATCTGAGTTATTAACTCGAAGTTATTCCTATCATTGCTCATTAGTAATATTACATGTCTTTATAAAAAAATTTGGCCAAAGTCATATGCGGCTCGCCACTCAAACTTGTTCCGATTATTCATGTAGACATCTTAACTAGATGTATTATTTATTGAACACTTCTAGAATTTGAACCATTTGAATATTTTTGAGAATAAACTAAAAGTAGAGGATGTGTGAAATATACTTGTGCCGACCTGTCATTTTGATCAATTAAATAATGACATGTGTTATTTTTTAATCTAAAAAATTATTTAAAAATTATATTATAAAGTAAAAAAAATAAAGAAGAAAAACTTAAACTTAAATCACCCACTTCCACTGCCTTCCACTAAAACCCAAAACATACATGACCCTCCCCCTCCCTGTAAAGTGTCATCTTCAACCCAACAGATTTTTCTTTTCATCAGCTTTTTTATTAATTATAACTTTTTACTTCATCTCATTTTTTAGGTAGAGAAAGATGGGGAAAATAATCTCTCCGAAAAATTTTTAAGTTTCATTTGTCATTGTCAAAAAAATTGGAATTATTTTAATTTTTTTATATTTCATAATCGATTAATTTTTTTGGATGAAGAAACATCCTTACATTAGGCCAATATGTATGAATTTAAATTCAAAACAACACATTTACAACAAATTAAAAACTTCAAATAAAAATTTGAGCAAAGTAAATAATTGATAGCAAAATTCTCCAATAAATTTAAACAACTGGACATCAATTTAACACCAAATTATTAAATTAACAGCAAAGAAACAAACTCCAAACTTAAAGCCTTTACAAATTAAACATGAAAGAAAATGACGGTAATAATGGTGGAATGGTGGTGCAATCAATCCTAATATGAATGACAATGGAACCAAAAATATAACAACAATCGAGCTAAAAAAGGTTAAGTTTCAGGAGAAAATAAGAAAAAGAAAAAGGGGTGTGTAGCAGCGGTGATAGTGGTAAAATGTGGTGTGATGGAGGAAGAAGTGTCAAAGAAGATGAAGAAGAAATAATAGTTTTTTCCAAAAAAAAGCCCAATTTAATACCTTCACGCGCCTAAAGGGTGTGGGTTACAAACAATGTGCTACAAAGACAAAAAAATGTTCAAATGGTTCATATTAGAAAAGGTTGAAGTGTTCAATGGATAACATCTAGTTGAGGTGTCAAAATAAATAATCGATATAAATTTAAATAGCCGCATATGACTTTGACAAAAAAAATTAGTACCTAAATCACTTCAAAAAAAACATGCTCATGGTACCTTTCAATTATTTTGAATGAGATACGTAAAATGATGATCATTTAATCCAATTACAATTTACAACATACCCCAATTCTTCTAAAAATAATTCTTACAAGGTTTTTAAAATTCTTCTCCATAAATTAACAGAGTATGTATGTTTATGAATGGTGAAATACTTTTTGCCAGAATAGTATATTAATTAGGTTATTTTATTTTTTTTAAATATTTTTTCCTTTTAATTTAATTATCTTTTAACTAAATAATGAAAAAAAATCTGTTTATTTTAATATAAAAAGAAATATTATAAGTAGTTTTTTAAGTTTACAAAGGGAGTAAAAACAATATCAATTAGTTGCAGTGTGATTATTCAGATACAGTAATTTTATATTATTTTCTGTTTTGTTATTGTTAAGTACTTTATCTATCGTATTTTATGTGACACTTTTCGTATTTTAATTAATAAATTTATTTTTTATTATAATTTTTTCGTAAATTTTTTTAAAATTTTAAATTATCAATTATTATAACTTGTAATACTTTTTACACAGTATATAAATAGATAAATTTTATTTCAAAAAAAATTAAATATTTCATACACAAATATTCAATCAAAATCTCAAAAAATAAAAAATTTCACATAAAATGGTACGGAACAGAAGGAATAGTTAGAAAGTCTTTGAATTCTACACATTTGAGATCAACGAAGAGTTCCTTGGTTAGTGTACCGTTTCGTTGGCGACTGTTTGAATACTTAATTAAATTGTTGAAGCAAGCACACTGTTTACCTCTACATATGTAAATTTAAATTAGCTTAAAGATACTAACATAATGGCGACTGCTGACACTTATATAATTTATAGGATAAAGTGAGAAAAATTGTATTTTATTGTAATTGTATAATTAACAATTGATAATTTGCTGGTCTTTTTTGCTATATTATGTGTATAAAATTTATTTTGTATACAATTGAATCGAAGTAAAATATTTGTAAATTGTATAATTATAAATGTATAAGAAGAAAAAATATATGTTTTTCTCTCGCTTTATACAAAAACAGAAACACAATTTATACATTTCTGTTGTATAAAGCGAGAGAAAATTGTATTTCATTGCAATTGTATAAATCGCTAACCTTTTTCGCTGTAATATTTGTATAAAATTTGCATTTATATACAATGAAATCGAAGTAAAATGTTTGTAAATTGTATAATTAAGTGTATAAAACAAAGATATATGTTGTTTGCATGTGTATATACAATTTTCTCTCGCTTTATACAAAACAAAAACACAATTTATACACTTATGTTGTATAAAGTAAGAGAGATGAGCAATTGGAGAGTGTCAAGCGAGAATAGGAGAGTGGTGAGAGAGAGTTTTGGTAAAGAGGTGACTGACAAACTTGGACAAACGTTTGCTATGGAGTACAATTAAATCAAACAGTAGCTATTCCATTTATTTTAGGTTATTAATTTGCTATTATATATAATTATTCCTAAAAAAATATAGATATCTGTTTTATCTCAAAATAATTTATGTATAATTAAAATTAGGCAAAAGAAAAGTGATGTGAAACTTTTCTTTGCTCGACAATTTTATTAATCTTTTTATTTATTTTTCTTAATTATTTTATTTTCCATAGTTTTATTTAAAGTCTGTTGTTGAAATTGTATATGAAGATGAAGATGTGTAGGAATCTCCATTAATGGAGCAAAGTATGCAAAGATGAAGATGAACAGTGCAGGCGTGAGAGAGCAGACTAGTGAGTTTGTGAGAAGTGAAAATTGTGTGCTATTCATTCCATGTGATTAGTATTTATACATGTAATGGACTCCTAACTAATTTCATAAAACCAACTAACAGAATCTAACTAACTAACTAACTCCTTTACAATGGTATAATTAGTTGAATTAAATATAACTAATCTTAACTGTAGCTTTTATATAGAGAGAATTTAACAAACTTGATAAAGAAAGTTGATAAGAATTTTAAAAAGATTTAACATATGAAATCTTGCTTGATAACACATTATCATTCACAAATTACAAGAATTTAAATATATTTGATTTATCTATTTACCTAATAGTTTTTTTCTTTCTCCTTCCGAATAGAATTTTAATAGTGCAACAAAACTCACTTTATTATAATAAACTGAAGCAGTAAATTAATTTTAAATTGATAATGAATTAATTAAAATAAGTAATTGCATCGCGAGAAAATTTATTAGTCTTTTTTTTAATGTACTACTTATTACCCCCAACCACTAGTGTCTTATTTTATTCAACTAAATATGCCACTATTTGTATGTTTAATAAAATAATGAAGATTTTTGAAGTATTTATCTTAAATCAATCCATAAATATTTATGTGGCTCATCGAAGGTAGAAACAGATTTTTGAAGAGTTTAGAGCAGTGATTATTACGTTTATTTGGTATGAGTATTTAAACACCAATAATATTAGATTGTAAAGGTATAATTATTTTTTTTACTGGATGGATAAAAGAGAAATGTAACTAATATTGGAGTAAAGGAATATCAGTAATTATTTTTAATTTAAACAATTAGGTGAATCTATTTAGATTAATTTTCGTTAAATAGGGGAAGTTTTATCAATGCAGTATGTGTTAGGTTGTGGAGTCTGAATAATATATATAACTCTTCATTTATTTTTTGTAATAAAAAATATTCTGATTTATTAATATATATATCCCACCGCCGTAGAAGTTTACTCACGGAGTGTTACCACGAAATATTGAGTTTTCTGTACTCTCATTTCTTTCTTTTGAAAGTTTTTGTGTTCTTCATTCATCAAGTGTATGCGCGTGAATTCGATCCTAACAGTATGAATGTGCATTGGACCATTATTGTTTGAGAACTCCTTGATTTCTACAATTTTTGAGATGAACAAGAGACTCTTGATTAGTGTATCGTATTTATGCAATCCATTGGTGATTGACTGTTAGAGTTACAATGTTAAAAGTTGAATGAGGAAGTAATTAAGAGACCCTATTTAAGCGTAGGTCCTCAGCTTGAGTGATTAATTGCAAGTGTTTTAAATACTTATCATAAAACAACAACATAGAAATGGCGACTTCCGAGAACAAATTGAGCATGAAGCTTCTGATCGACACAAAGGCTAAAAAAGTAGTATTTGCTGAGGTTGAAAAGGATTTTGTTGATTTCTTATTTCACATTCTTTCACTTCCAGTTGGTAGAGTGAGTAAGCAGAAAGGAATGAATGGGTGTTTGCTTAACCTATACCAAAGCGTACAGAATCTTAATGACACCTATATGTATTGTTTAGTCACTTTCTGAAAGAGAGAGAATTTTATAGATGTAGCTCTAAATGCACTTGTTTTGTCACAGAAGTTTATAAAAGTATCTGCCCAGTTTGTAAGAGTTATATGTATATAGATGCTAATCCAGGTGTTACATGTGGATTTGTGAAGGAGATGGTGATGGATGATTTGGTCGTTAAGCCCATGTCCGCCGTCTCTAGCATCACCGCTCTTAAAGAAAACTTTTAACTTTTTACCCTTATATGCTATAAGCTTAAGAAACAATTCAAGGTTATATGATACTATGATAGTAATCTTTAAAATTGAATAAGAAATTAAAATGCTTTTCTTTTTGTTAATTTTACAGTTTTCTTACTTTAGTTAATTCTTATCGTTTCGCAGGCGCATAAGTTGCTGAAATTATCTTTTGAGTCGAAAGCAATTCTGACTAGTATTTACATGAGCAGTGTTATCATGAACCGAGTTAAAATGGAGAAAAACTAGTCATTGGTCATATTTGAGGAATTGGATGATTCACATTAAGTCACTTGCCTTTTAATGGCTATCTTATGTTTTATTTATTTCAAGCTGTTGTTGATTATGTTCATTTGAGGTTCGGTTATGGTTAAAAAAACTTAAATCATCTAGTTTATTTATTTATTTTTGCGGTCTCTCCTTGTATAATGCATATTAATTTTTAGATATTTTCACCAGTTATGTCGAGAAAATAATTTGATTCTTTCTTTTGCCTAATTCGTTTTTAATAATTGTTTAACATATCATAAAATTTTACTTTGCTTCGTACCCTTGAACCACAACATTTTTAGGCTAACAACGTAACATTTTCAAGTAGAAAGTCTGGAACTACTATCGAAGTTTATACCTAAAAATAATATAGTATTCTCTTAACTACTGGGTTAACCCTTTCACTTCTCAACTTATTACCTACAAAGTGTGAATGAATTTTTTTCCCACAACTCTCTTAAATATAAGTAATTACTCGGTTCATTTTTGTGTGCAATGTAAATTGATCGGACATTCTTTTTAAAGAGCTGTACTAGATGAATTACTATTTACTGTATCGTTCTTTAAATATCATGAATTCAATTAATAATGGTGATTTAGTTTGACTTGAAACAAAGTTCTAAATTAAAGATATGTCAAATGTAACAGAATGTCTTTTGATTTTGTGATCTTAAATTTTAAAAAAGTGTTATCAAAAAAAGGAAATGAATCGTTTTTTTTAAACAGACTAAAAAGAAAATTTAAAGTTAAAATGTTGCCTAAAGAAGAAATGAATAAATTTTTTTGAAACAGATTAAAAAAAAATAGTCATTATTTTTAAACGAAAGGTATAGTATCTATTATTACATGGTTTAAAATATCCCCTTTTTAATAAATATATATAAATGGGAGGGAGTAGTATCTAGTATTACATGGTTCAAAATCTCTTTTTTAAATAAATATATATATTTTTTTCTTGCAAAATACATTTTATTTCTAATTAAAAAAAAAATACTTTGACACTATTCTTGTTCATTTTAGTTTGAAAATCACTTTAAATACAAAATAAGAAGGAAATAATACTTTTTCGTGTGTTTGGTAGGAAGGAAAAACATTTTGGCATGTTTGGTAACCGGTTGGCTCAGCCGTAGTGTTTTTCGGATTTTATTACTAATTGAAAGGCAGTGTACTTAATTATTTATTAATCATTCTTTATTTTCCGAGCACATAATCATTAACGATTCACTTTCAGTTTCGCAACTCCTTGAGTTCTCAACTTTTTAAAATTCAGATGGAGTACTTATACATTTAGAATTATTCATTGTAACTTTTTGAATTCTCCAACGAAAAAGCTGAATTAATTTGATGACTGTTTGTTTACTATGACGGATTTTGACTATAAAAGAGCTAAAGTAGACGTGACAATTTCATAATCCTCTCCTAACTATCATCCAATTAAGCATAATGACGACCCAATTGAGCATGAAGCTTTTGATTGACACTAAGGCTAAAAAAATACTATTCGCTGAGGCTGAAAAGAGTTGTGTGGATTTCTTGTTTCTCATTCTCTCATTGCCGGTGGCCACAGTCATTAAGCTTCTTAAGAAGAAAGGGATGAATCATGGATGCTTGCCTAAACTCTATGACAGTGTTGAGAATTTGAGCGACACCTATATTCACTCTAAGGATAGCCTTTTGAAACCCAAGTCATCTGTAATAGGGATCGCTTCCATTCCTTTTCTATCGATTGATGACGTTCCAACGACACATAAGACCTTTTATGGATGTTCCAACTACTGTCATAATACTTTTTCTGATTGCCCTAGTGCAAAATGTACAGTTTGTAATTGCCTTATGTCAAGAAGTTTGACGTATGTTGCTCCACCGATAGCGAGTGGAGCTGTGGCATCGACAAGTGGTTTTGTGAAGGATGTTGTGACATACATGGTGATGGATGACTTGGTAATTAAGCCTATGTCCACCATTTCTAGCATTACTCTTCTAAACAAGTTCAATGTAAAGGATGTTGGTGTATTGCAAGAGGAAGTTGTTCATTTTGGAATGGAAGAGGTAAACAATTAATTTATCACTCTTTTATTTTTTTTTTGGTTTTGTAGAGCAACTCAATTTACTTTGCTGCAGGCGCTGAAGTTGTTGAAGGCATCCTTTGAGTCGAAGACAGTCCTGACTAGTGTTTTCATGAGCGCCATAAAATTGTCGAAATAGTTACACATGTTTTCATGGAATTTGGATGTTTTAGCTTTTTGGTTTTCTTTTCTTTCTTTCTCTGTTGGAGTTATTATGATTTTATCTTTGCTAATTTCTTATTTTTCCTTTCTAATGAATCAATCTATTCTCAATGTGTTTGAGATTGTTTCCATTTGTTTTTGGTACTTCTTCCTAGTTCAATTTAAAATGAATGTTTGTTATAATTATGACATTTCTGATCATCTCTAACTTGAGGTTTCTCATAAGATGAACCAAAAATACCCATGAACCTAATACTTATTGTCCACTATTAATTTGACACAAGTGGAAGGAAATATTTATTGTCCACTATTAATTTGACACAAGCGGAAGAAAGTAGTATTAATTTGACACAAGCGGACGGAAGGAAGTAGTAGCTAGTCAAAGGAAATTAATGAGAGCACATGAAGTGGCAGAGGTATTTCTTATTTTGTGCCGTACTACTACAGGTAAAGCATTAATGTCTGTATTGTTGAGGTCGGTATGCTAAGATTTAAAAGAGATTTCAGTCTCACTGTCTCTTTGCCTCATGTGGATGAGGTGTGGGTTTCACTCATTTACTGTAACTCCACTTGTTTCCCTTTTAATTTTCACATGCAACTGCCTCTCATTATCTGAGAATATTACATAATGGCTTATCCACATTAATATTATAAGATCCTGTTTGCTAGTTCGTTATTATAGAAGTAGGATTCGCAACCATAATCCTATACTTGTTAGCCATTTGATATAACATTCGTCTAGAGATGTCTAATTTATTTACTGGCCACTTTTTTTTTTTAGGTAAATACATTAATGTCCAATTGTGTTAATCAAATCCCTCATCTCTTTTGCATTTATTTGAGGCTCTGCAATCATTCTTCAACTACCATTCGCTTCAACTACTATGCAGTTACAATTTTTCTTTTTATATCCCTTTGCACCCAATATTTATGCTTCTACATTTAATGCTCTCAACGGCCAATAGGGAAACTCTAAATCCTGGATTTATTACTGCTAACCGATTGTTGCCTTTTTGGCCCTATTTATACTCCAAACCTTACACTATACTTTGCATCAACCACAACATTTACTTCTATACTCTCATTTTCACCAAGAAAATCAAGCATGGCCAAGATTGTTTCAGTTCTCCTTTTGGCCCTTCTTGTCATTTCCATGCTTGCTAACACTGTTATGGCTGCAAATGGCAAACACCACCACTATGCTGTAAGTTTACTTTTTTTCAATTATTGAATTTTCGTACTTTCTGTAACCATTTGGATTTATCCGTCTAATATATCTTTATTGTTATTTCAGAAGAAGTATGGACCAGGAAGCTTGAAGCCCTCGCGTAAGTATTTCTCATGTGAAAAAATAACTGAACATTTTGAAGTATGAGAATAAAAAAATCTTAAGTTTATAAGCGACAGAGAAATGTACTACATAGCTATAAATATTGGATTGTTAATTTATAAACTTTAAATCTTGAAACTATCAGTATTGTTTATGAGAGGTTTTAAGTGTTGATTGTTTTTTTTTTGTATTTTACCAGAATGTCTACCACAATGTACGAGGAGGTGTAGCAAGACACAGTACCACAAGCCATGCATGTTCTTCTGCCAAAAATGTTGCAACAAGTGTTTGTGTGTTCCACCTGGTACCTATGGAAACAAGGCTGTTTGTCCTTGTTACAATAACTGGAAGACCAAGGAAGGAGGACCTAAATGCCCTTAATTTACTTTCTGTTTTCATCTAATATGTCTACCTAATCTTCTTGTTTTTTCTCCTATTGCACTTTTATCTAACCCAAGTGGTTATATATGTAATATGACCATATTTCCAGAGTTTAAATGGAACAAAAATATCACTCCCACTCTTGCTAGAAAGTTTAATCTTCCTTTGGACCAAACAAATTTCCATCTTTCCTCATTAATCTTTGTTATATGTTCAGATACTCTCCTCACTGCACTTTTGTCATATGTTATCAAACTCTCGATAACTACATCGTTTGGCCAGATATGTTTTGGTAGCAATAGCAAACACTGCTATGGAGAACATATAGTATGACATAACATGAAAATAGGTTGCAAAAAGACTAGGGGGCAGTTGTTTCCTCTGCTAAAATCATAGTGACAGAACACAAAGTTGTTATCTCTTCTGGAGGAATACAGTAGTGCAAACATTACGCAAAAAATGGAAGCAAAAGGCATGGCAAAACTAAGAATAAATGAGATTAATGACAGTAAGCGACTAATGTGATGTGAAGATATGGTATCTACACAATTGAAGCAACGACTTTATCAAGTCGTAACCAACTCTGGAGGCTAAGATTTCCACGCCACCTAGTGGCTGCAATGTTTTGATATGTACAACAGTACAAACATAACAAAATATGAAATTTAAAGCTTTTGCGTCTCCCAATGTAAAGATACAGTAGGTAAATGATAAAAACAAAACGAGAAAAAATCTTTTCCCATTATGTAGCTTACCATCTGTACAATTAGCTTATCGAAACAGAGAGCTGTTTATACTGATTGTACATGAGTAGTTGCTGCCTGTTCCGGTGGCATTGACACCTGAGGAGTTGCTGGTGTTGTCGAAGGTTCTGCTGCCGGTGCAGGTCCAGGTGCAATTGTGACATGCAAACCCCTATGCTGCCCTGCCTGCGCAAGGAAAGCAACTTCGGCTGCTGCTATTGCTGCTGCCTCCTGCTTTATAGATGTGAAATGAGAAAAAAATATAAGCATATATTCGACATTTACAAACTGACATACTAAATGAAGTTTATAATTAACACAGTCAACTCACTTAATAGGCAATGAAAATAAGTGAATTGATAAGTTTATGATTTACACAAGTCACTTAATAATCTGATTTGTACCATAAGAGTCACACATTGGGCATGAGCAGAAAGCATCACTAAGATGTGCAAGAATGAAGACAAATGCTAATACAGTTCTGGAAGTTATAAAAAGAAGAGAAAAAGTTGACAAACCTGTCTTTGCCTGCGACGCTGCAATATACCGATAGCCCAAGCTATAATGTAACAAGGTAAAAGAAAACCGGCAGCGCGGAGCAGGAAAAGCTGTGTCAAGAATCAACTACATCATTAGTCCCACACACTATCTAGAGTGGATGTGTCATAAACTTATCATAGAAAGTAACAAGTAGACTTAAAAATCACTGTATTACTTACCATAAAAAAGGTGGAAACATCATCCTCATCCTCATTAGCATCTCCAACTATCAGAGCATGCCTCAGTAACAGAAGGGCCAATAGCTGCAGGAAAACAGAGTGCTAATTTAACATGGTGAGCAAACAAAGTGAGAAGATAGAAAATAAATTTGTCACCAAGATCTACTTTTTTGGCACATCTAAGAGATTCTCCCCTAGTCTTCTTCAAGTTTAACATCCATAAACATGTAGGATACATGTCATGTGTACTGCAGAAATCTTTAAATACTTAGGAAAGAGATTGAATCTCATTTCTGATCCCGTTGGACAACCAGAAGAAAAATAGCATAAGAAACAAGACAGGGTAATAAGAGGAAAGAGAAGAAATGCATGCATTCTACCAAGAGACCATTGCAATGACATAATATCATTTACTAATACAGATTGCCATTTCAAGGACTTACTGGAAAATCTGTTTTATTTATTTATCCAAGTATAACCAGAAATATGGTCCTGTCGGTGCTTTAACCCACAACCTTCACAAGCATGAGGGTATAAGTAATGACGAGTGTAGAAGCTTGTTTGTCATCTATACAAAGGGTTTTGATGAGTTAATATCTATCTTTTTAAATATAAATAATGTTCTCTTAAGTATCATTACTGAAATATGCCTCCAATTAGATGAAAATCCCCGTTGTATTTTCTCTAAAGATGGAATTGGACCAAAAATGCAAACTGGATAAAATAAAATTGCACTCTACCAGCTCAAAGCTTAATGTGAAAATTCATTTATCACACTACCAATGTCACTCCCACACTCCTCTCTCTCAAGAGACTTTTAATCCGTTCATGTACATACCAGCTAGACGAACAATTCTAATGCATGCCCAACATCACCCTAGGCACTACTAAACAAAAGAAGTTTGCACTGCAATAGAACAAAATGAATCAACTACACAATAATTCAGTTGCTTACAATCAAAGCGGCAGACCGAAAAAATGCAGCTCCACTAGCATTTGAATCTGAATATTCGTCATAGTCAGCCTCTAGAAGACGGCGTTCAGCAGCAGCCATTGCAAGAAGTCGAGGATCATGAAAGTCGACCTGAGTGCCACCCACTGTCCAACCTCTACATAAGCCACATGGTTGAATTCATCATTTACAGATAAGAGAGAGAAATCTTTCAGCATATAAAGATTACAAGAGGATGTGCTGTTAAAGTATCGAGTGCTACATGACCCCAGAAGCATAGCAAAACTGTCTGGATTTTATTGAAAAAAACTACAAAGCACTCTTTAAAAAAGAGAAAAGAAAGAAGTTAAGGGGAAAATAGCCAGAACAATCACTTACCACAGGCAAAGTTACTAATGACAAAAACTGGCTCCAAAGTTTGGTTCCATCAGATTATGTTACAAATTTTTAGTAACAAGGACAAATTATGCATCACCGGTGTATATTGGCGAAAACTAAGCTACCCGAACATACCTGATGTCAATGGATGTATCTTCAGATTGAGGAGACGCGGGCCGAGCAGTATAGCCAGGATGATAAAGCTGCACGTTAGACACAAAAAAAATTTAAGCTTGGTAAGTGCCAGCTAGATAGAAATATTTCCGCATGTAGCTGAACTAAAACTCTTTCAGCAAGCATCACTGGCATTCCAAATTTGTGATTCTTAAGTATCAATGGCCTTAAATTTTTATTGGTTGAATCAATGTCCTGTATTTCTGAAGTAAAAAAATAAATAAACAGCTGAATTGCTGCATAGGGATAAGTGACACTCCCTACCATCAGGAAAGAGTATTGGAGGACAGAGCAAGCACATAAAGGAAATATGATTGTCTACACTCTCAGCTGGTAGTCTGGTGCAGAGTCAATTATGTTATCTCACCTAGACACCTACCCTCACTCTTTTATGGCTGAATTGTCTTACACTGGTTTTGGTATGGGGAGAGGCAAAAGTTTAATCAATCATACACAATAAAACAATGTAAACAGAACACACACAGGAGTACCTGATGGCAAATCTCGCAAGTTATATCTCCCTTCTCATCACACCATTGTTGAACACATTTTCTGTGTGCATACTGGATTTTGTGACAGTGAAGTTGATGACAAATAAAAAAGAATAGTCAGCATACCAATAAAAGCTCATACATAGGTACAAAAAGTAATTGTTGGACATTGTAACACAGAGATAAATAAGCTCAATTTTGTGACAGTGAAGTACACAAAATAATTGTTGGATTATTGTGACAGTGAAGTAGACTAGAATTTATCAACTTCGTTGAAAAGGATAGAAAACTCAAATATCAAGCTTCTGTAAAATGTTGAATCATTTAAATCTTAAGTTCTTGAGAGAAAATGTATCAGGGATTAGCAAATTTTAGGCTTTAGCTGTAAAAAACGTGATTGGCATAATTATAAAAGCATAAGCAACTTATTGAACAAGAAGAGAACTAAAATTCAACAACTTCACAAAGATACCTTCAAGCTGCCACTGCAACCACAAGGAATCTCCAAATTTTTCAAGCTATCTTCTTCCTGACAAATCCGACATTCCACAGTCTGAAGTAATGGCTCTTCTTCATCTCCAGCTCTTTGATATTCGTTCTCTTGAGCATCAATACCTGAGGATGTACCAACTGTCTGAGTGACAGATGTGCCCCCAGATAATTCTGTATGCTCGGGCCGTGGCAGAGAGTGCAATGATTCGGGTGTGATAAGATGGTCAACACGCAAAACCAAATGTTCTTCCATTAACAGTTCACCAAATTATCCTAAGATCCTTAAACAACGTCAGCCATCTCATATGACAAAAATATAAGAGGGGAACTTCGGACACTTCACTAAGCAAACAAAGATTCTCCAACCATTACATTTTAACAGACTACTAGAGATAATTCGGTATACTTTAGTGTTGCATAGTTTTGCTTTACCTTTGTATAGCTTTGTCCAAAGTTAGCAACCTATGTTGCCATCAAGAGAAAGGGATTTGAAAAGCATAAGATGTACTTGCCTTTTAATTTCGTATTAACAAGGTTTATGCTGTTCTCGTTTAGATTCAAAAGTCCAGAATGCCACATTAAACATTCAAGGAAACTGAATCCCCTAGTTTAAATTCGGAAGCATACATTTTTTTCACTACTAAAGAACAGCATTCTTGAACAGAAAATTTGAATTTGAAACCTAACATCAAATTAACCCATTTGACCAATAACATAAGTTCGAAAATTCAACCCAAACTCTGAAGCAAATGAAACAACCTTATGAGTTCCTTTCCGTCCCATTTCCTCTCTTCTTTTTCTAACAGTCAACAATCTTGACAAAATCAAGACCATACATTTCACGGTTAAAAGATTCAAGCTTTGTGCATAAAAAGGATGAAAAACATCGTTTACCTTCAGTTTCAATAAATCGCAAAAATTACATAACAAGTCAGAATCCATCGATTAATTAGCTCACCCATTTATAGAAATCTTCCACCCAAAGCAAAAAGTTCCAATCTTGAACTAGGAACTTAGATTAAAATGTAGATTAATGGTTTGAATTTGAGGTTACTGGACTAAATCAACTCAGCTAATTGGAAAATCATAAACCCAAACAAAAAACAGCAAAATTAGGATAAACAACAGTTGAAAAGATACCTGAATATGCAATTCTTGATGGGTTAGCTTTGTGAAGAACCAGCTTAGAAGCTAATGAATATATACTACTCTTTTTCAGACAAGAAAAGTCGCAGCAACATTTTTCCTTGTGGGGTTTGCTTAGTAATTAATGATAAAATTGGTATATATATTTATACTCTTCTAGTTTATTGTAGAAGTCTTTTCTACCCCATTATATAAGCCGAGTCAAGATTAGATTAAATCTCGAGGTTTCAGATTTAAATTTTTAAAAATATATTAGTGATTATTTTAAATTTATACGGATTTTGATGAATAAAATTATGATACTCATTTAAGAAAATTATAAATATTATGATTTACTATTAAAAATAATAAAAACTGATTCGAACATCACAATTAAATAAATTTAAAAAATCACAAATGTCTTTTACCCTTGGCCTTGGACACTCTTGGTAACGTTCGGCCCAAGCCAAAAGAAAATAACGTTTTTCCATATGGGCATAATGGACAAAGTCAATGTTGTAATAAGTTTCAAATCTAGAAAAATGTATTTTCAATATTGGTATTCATATCTAATTAATAAAATTATTATAACATTACGTATTTTATTTGTGTTTACTTAAACTCAGTCTTTTAATCATAAAAGTCATAAATTAAGAAGTATTATTTTTCGCATTATAGGAGAGTTTCGCGCGATATAAAAATTACTCATTTTTATTTGACTTATAAATAGCAAGTTAGAATTATAAAATCAATCATTAATATTTATATCATAATTTATTACCCAAATCAGACATAAAATATCTAGTAACTGGAATTATCCTTATATCTCACTTTATCATACATATGTTTTGCATTATTTACTGGCTACAAATTATTGTTTTTATAGCAAGTAATTAGTCTTTCTTAGTAAAACCTTGGGGAAAAGTTCTTCTTCCAAGAAGAAGCAAACTAGCACCATAAAAAGTCAATGGTCATAAACAAAGACATTAATCTCTTCTAGTTGCTTTGGCTAAAAATAAGCAAGCACAAAGAAGGGAATAAAATGTACCACGTAAAATTTCATGTTTCTTAGCTCCCTTTTGTACCCCACCCACACTTAGCACATAATTGATATAAAAAAAAAGGGTCCAATGGTAGCCTAATAATAGTACTAATTAGAGAAAGAAAAAGGTGGAAAATTTTGATATGTGTGTTCAACTTTTAAAGAGTTGATGAATTGGTAAAAAGGAAAAAAGGAAAAATGGAGTGGTTGAGTAGCATGCTCTCTAGGAAGAGTGATACTCTTCTTCTTCCGATTTTTTCATTCATTTTCGTATTCGTATTAAAGTTCGACTAACCCAAAAATTGACATTCTAAATCTCTAACTAAGCCAAGGGAGGAGCATTTATCTCCTCCAATACACCACACTTGTAGGTGGTACACTTCTCATTAATCTTCTGTTTCTCTCTTTTTTCTTTTGATCTGGACGCTATCTAAAAAAAATTAATGTAAATTATCAATTGCACATCTATAATGTCTTCAATGTCATATTATTATGAGTTTACGAAACAAAAAAGCATTTAAACCAAATTTCCATAAAACCTAAGGTTGAATAACTTAATAATATTAAAGGTTTCGTATTATGAGTGTGCAAAACAACATTATTTAATGAACAAAAGTTAAAAGAAAAGACGGAAGGAAGGGGGGCAAATAGAAGAAAAAGTATAGTGACAATATCATAGACTCAATGATGTGTATTCTTGAACTTATATGAGTCATGATAGGTTTTGTTTGCATTTGAGCATCCATGTTATTATTATTATTATTTACATGCATCATTTTTCTGGTTGCATCTCTTTCAAGATGTTGTATAGTTTATTTAGGCATAATGAATATGTTCTTTAAGTTTTATTTTATTTTACGTTTGTGTTTTTTAATTTTTGGTGTGAATATATAAAACGTTAACTTTGTATAAAACTAAATAAATAGAATCTCACATACATTGTAGCATTCTATATGTATATTATGTCAAATAGAATTCATGGGTCTATTTATTTAATTTTATACAAATTTAAGTAGTTACTTCTGCATATTCAACGTTAAAGAATATGAATATGAAATAAAATCTAATTAAAAGTCACATTTATGTATTATGTCTTTTATTTATAAGAGTGTCATGTTAATAATACTTCTTTCATTTTTAGGTAAAATGAGCTTTCTTATTTTATTTTTTTTAACTTTAGTGAAAAAAATTATTGTAACCATTCTAATTAATTCACTATATTTTTCATCAAGTATATTGACCAGTATCAATATACTATTCTTTTCTTTAACTTAAAGAATCGATTTATGAGACATTATGACTACTTGTGAAATTAAGATTTGTGAGTCTCACGTGTGATTCTTACACTAGAGTTTTTGATTTTTTTTCAAATTAATTATAGACATAATATATAAATGTGTCCTATAATTTAATTTCGAATTACATTTATGCCTGTCAATTTTGAGTGCACACAAGTAGACACTTAAACTTGTATAAAGTTGAACAAATAGACACACATGTCTTACATGTCATCCAATATGTCATTTTCTGTCCGACGTGGTGTCCTATGTGTATTGTGTCATATAGGACTCATGTATATATTATTTAAAAGTTGGATAGTTAAAGTGTCTGTTTGTGAATTATAAAAGTTAAAGGTAAAAGTTTAAATTTAAAGTCAAATTTAAAATCTAATATATGTATTATTGTCTTAATTATATATCTCTTTTTTTTGAAAGAATAAGTACTATATTCTTTTTTTTTGGTTTAATAATTGAGAGTAATTCTCGTATATCGCTGAAAAATACCCGAAAACAAAACGGATCCGGGTTTCTTTAAAGAACGGGTTAAAGTTCCAATTCGGAGTTGATCAGTTTAATCGGGTCACGAACCTTTGTCAGTTGCCACTCTCAGTGAGGGTTTAAACTTACATCAAAACCCTAGCGTTCCTTTTACCCCAATTCTAACCGCTTTACTTGCTCCCTGAACTTACGCAGCATAGCCATGGCAGAAACTGAACCTGAAGTCGCCGCCGCCGTGCCCGCCGTTGAAGCCGTGGTAGAGGCCGAGAAAGAGGACACTTCGGCTCAGGACATGGATGTCGAAGCTCAAGCCGCCGATGATACGGAAGAGAACGGCGGGTCGAAGCGTCCAAGGGAGGAGGAAAACGAGGTGGAGAAGGAAGACGCCACAAAGAAGCTGAAGGTCGATAAGTCTGTGGAAGAAGAACGATTCGAGAATTTAGATGGAAGCAAAACGGTGGATGAAGAAAAGAAAGATGTGTCAGGTCCGATTAGCGTGGGCCCTAAGAACTTCGGATCGTCTGTGGAGGTGTTCAATTACTTTTATAAGCTTCTCCATTCTTGGTCTCCCAACCTCAACCTCAACAAGGTAAGCTGTTTCATGTATTTTCTTCAATATTGCAGTAAAACAGTTGTAAGTATAGCGAAATGGATAACTAACCTTGATGTGAAATGCTCTGAATGTCATTGTACTATTGTGCTAACATAGGAGCGAAATGGATATAGATAATTCATATAGCTAACACTGACCCCCTTAATTTGGTATTAAGGCTTAGTTGTTTGAGTGTAGCATATTGATAAAAATTTATTTGTGGAGGATTGACTCTGCATCATTCCATATACCAATATAATGATCTTTGTAGTGGTTAAGGTCTCTGGTTTTAGTTTTTCATGGGTAGGATGCTAATGTGGGATTTTTCGCGAGCAATTTCGGATGCCTTACCTGGAATAGTCTGAAAGTGTGTAGCTTTAAGGCATTAAGCTGTATTATATGTTTATATCAGTGAGCCAGTGCACTATGCTGTTTTGTTCCTTTGTGTGGCTTTGTATTACGATTGGGCTAGGTTTATTTGAGAGCCATAAGTTATCTCCAGCCTGCCAAAAGTTGTTTCCTGTCTAGAGCATCCGGCATTTTAGATGGATGGGATGACAGATTTCTATTCTCTGCGTGTACACGACGATGAATATTGACTCAAGCCAAGCAACCAGTCTCTGGTATGATATGATAGTAATTGTGAGATTGCAACATTCTACTATTTTGGCCCATATATTTATTTGGTTTTAGCAAATAGTATCAAAATTCATAAGGCGAAGTTACAGAATACCTAACTTCTTGCTGAATAAATGGTCCAGAACTGGATAATTGCAGTTCAACAAGTACAACCACATGGACCACACCTTCCATTTCTTTCCATCCTTGGTTAATTGGAAGTAAAATGCATTTAGAAAACAATGGGTTGTATTATGTGCGCGAATTGGATTGTACATTTGTTGTGTGACCTCCTTGATCAAGTGCCCGCTTGGATTAGCTTATTTTTAGGTGTTTCTTTTTTGGCTTTTAAGCACTTTTAAGGTGTTTGGAAAGGTTAAGAAATGTTTTTAAGCACTCACTATTATATTAGCCCAAAAGAGGTGTAGTATAATTAGCCAAAAGCCATAAGTAGGGTATCCTCTACATATGGCTTTATTTTTGCCCATTGCTTGTAAAAAGAAGTTGTGTTCGAATGCGCTTTGGTTGGTTAGATATTCATGTCTGTATCACATGAAATTTTATCCGTGCTTTCTGATTCCTTTTCTTTCTATATTGCAGTATGAGTACATTGTTTTGCTTGACTTGCTAAAGAAGGGTCATTTAGAGCCAGATAGAAAGATTGGTACAGGAGTCCGTGCATTCCAAATCCGGTTTCATCCTCAATATAAAAGTCGTTGCTTCTTTATCATTAGGGAGGATGACTCTGTGGATGATTTTAGCTTCAGGAAATGTATTGATCACATTAGTCCTCTCCCAGAGAACATGCAAGTAAAACACGAGGCAAACAGAGACTTGGCACGTGGTGGAAAAGGAGGTGGGCGTGGCCGTGGAAGAGGAGGGAAGCCAAGATACTGAAGGCAGCTGCATGTTCTGTCAATTGTTATGTAAGCCGTCACATGCTGCTGCCTGCTTAGTCCACATTTTGTTCAATACCCCTTTCAATCCTGCAGTTTATGACATAATATGCGTTATGACTACAAGGATGGCATCTGCTGGTTATGATGTTACCGTAATATGCGTTAAATTTATGTAATGTATGAATACATCAGACGAAATTATCATATGAAGAACGTATTATTCAATTTTAGCATATACTGTAGGTGGTGTTAACTAAACATATTGCTCTGATGCATTGTAGGCTCCCTCCCAATTGTGTTCCAATGATATGCCGTTTATGTTTTTTTGAAAGGAAAAAATTATCCTTTTAGCTTCGGACTCGGTGAAACTTCATGACAATACGTTTGACTTTCACATGGAATTTGAAACTTCATAATAGCTATTTGTGAAGTATAATCCATTAAAAGATGCTTGGACCAACCCAAAATGGCCTGGTCTTTATAGTCAAACTAATTAAATCTTCGAAAAGATGGTACATGGAATATTTCAACTCCATTAATAGCTCTTCGGCTTCTGAATTTCCATCATTTTTGCTAAAAGATTAAAGTAAAGATTTTTTATGGGTGACTACCTAACTTTCTGTGGCCCCAACGTGTCTAAATCGAAACTTGTCCTCAACTAATGGACACCAATTTATTAGTATTTCCCTACTAAAAAAGTACCAAGGGGTCCAAATGAACCCTAGATTTTAGTAATGGTGGGGAATTTAAATTTGAAGGTCTTTTTCAAAAGATTAATGTAATAATATAATTATAAGACACCAATAATCAGGTGGACTAATAGGACAAAAGGTAATGGCGTGCACTTTTAACCTCTTTGTTATGAGTATTAGGAATTTAAAATAGGACATATGTTGATCTCTCCAATAGGTAGGGGAAAGGACTTCGAATTTATAAACTCTAATATACTTATCATGGATCATTAACACGTGTCGTCCACTTAAATAAGTATATATGTTTTGATTAATCACATGGATTAAGACACTTGTGTTACTAGCTTTTTATTGATATATCGAGCTGTCTATCAAATAGGCCACTAGGGAAAAACGGTTCATACGGCGTCAACACGTATGTCTATTTGAAACAGTCTATATACGAATTTTAATAATTTATTTATTGAATAAATAAATCTATCGTAAAAGTCTTGATGAGTGATTAATATTATATTCTTGATTTTAAAAAGTTGGGTATAATTTCGTACAAAAAAAAACTATACATAATTTATCAAAATCAATATTGCATCAGACTAATGAGTTAGTACTATGAATCGTTTTATATCATAAATAATAATTGATGAGTCAACGTGCATTAGACATTTTTGGTACTACAAATAGTCAAAAACGATGAAATGTAAATAACAGAGCCAAAAATATATATAACATAATTATATATATATAAAAAGAAGTGGAGGAGATAATAGCATAATATAATATTAAATAAAAAGCAAAATTAACTAAACTTTGCATTGTTCTTATCTTCTCATTCTGTACTCTTAATATGCCATTGCTTTCAGCTTCAAGGATTTAGTTAATTGCAACTATATCCTCCATTATCCAATCAAATTCAGACACGTTGCTAGACATTTATGGATTGTTTTGTTCACGAATTAAATTATCTCGTAAGTTATTATTTTCAATTTTATTTATCCCATATTTGATAAATAAAATAAAATATTTGAATAAAATAATTTTTATCTCAAATTTAATTTTAAAATATTCCGCGTACCAAACGAGCTCTTTTGAACAGTCCACGGTGCACCATAACAACCGTACCACATTGGACTCTATCGAGAGATTTGATAACAAAGATGGGCCAGGAGTCAGACAATGAAAGATCTATATATCTATCTGTCCCAAATTAATTATACAATTTTTTTACTTTTTGAGAATCAATGCGATTAATTTTTTATAATTAAAATTTAAATATATAATAATTTTATAAAGTTTATTATAAGTTATGATATTTTATATTGATATTAATAAAAATATTTCTTAAATTTGATTATCAAAATATAAAACATGTCAACTAAGTTGGAATATAAAACTAGGCATGATGTCTATAGTTTTAAATCTCCAATTAATTGATACATTAATATCTATACTTTTTGTCTTCTTTCATATTTCATTGTGAAATCTGTGATGCAGATCTTATTATTTTAAGTAGGTGGAGAAAATCTTCAACTATATAGTTAAATTATATACGGTAAAGTATATGTAGTTATTTTATTTGATTTGATTTCAATTATTCGAATATTTTTTTTTACTATGTGCAAAAAATATGGAGAAATCGAAGGAAGAATGTTGATCTTTGCTTAGAGCTTGATTGTGTTGTTGAGAGTTCAGAAGTATTTATTTATTTTTCGAGAAAAATCTTTTTTTTCAAACAATTGGTTTGGCAAATTACTATAACTATTTTTAAATAGAAGAAGAAACAATTTTTATGTTATTATATAAAAAAAATCTCTTTCTCATATATATATCTTATAAATTAATTAGCATATTTCATGAGTTTGTTAAGTTTTATATTAAAAATTATTTTTTTTATAGATATTTAAAATAGTTCCTCTCTATAAAATGATCTTGATACTAAAAGTACATCGACAAGTAATTTGACGCTCAAAAGAACTTTTAAAAAGATTTGTCAAACATAATTTTCTTAATCTTATTAAGAACACTTTTAAATGAATTAATCAAATATAAATTACTTTTTATCAAAAGCACTTTTTCTAAAATAATACTTTAAAAAAAATAATTCTGAAGATAATAAATTTTAACAACAATTCCAAACAAGTTCTTACTATATTTATTTTTATTTTGCTTAATCACAATTTGTCTCATGACATTATGTATAATTAGATATTCTATTTTAGTTTAATTTATTTGTTTGTATCATCTGCCTATATTCAAATGGATCCATGCTGTTGTTATAGTTTATCTTTTAATTATTAATTTTTTCATTTTTAAGGTGAAACAAATTAAATCTGATTTTCTAAAAAGAAAATGTGTGATTGAGTAGGAAAGTAAGAGATAAAAAAGAAAAAGTAAAAAGAACAAAGGAAAAAGTTAAAGATAAAAAGGTTAAAAAGTGGAAAACAATACGAAAAAATATGATTAAAACTACATAACAGATTCTTACCATTTGATACTGGTATACACATAACATAAAAAAAAAAAAAAAAACAGATGTAGAAGAAATAATTGTTTTAAAATATTAATATAAAGTTTTTTTTCTTGAAATTTTACAAGTATTTCTTTACTTTATTTTAAGAAAAATAAAAAAAGTAGTTTCAGTTATACTGTTGCATAGACTACATATACAATATACAAAAGACTAAACTTTGGAGTGGTGAAAAATTAAGCGTTAAACTTTGGAATATTTTACTTCGAAAACTAAAATATTAAGAGATTTAATATTTGAAATTCCAATCAGTAGGGAATTCGAGATAAATTTACTGATTTTTTGTTTACAAGTTTCTGAGAATTTAAAATTATATATCTTATATGTATATTACATATATCAACTTAATTTCAATATTTATAGGTTAGTAGTATATAAAATTTAATTTTTTTTTATCGAGGAGTCAAATAATTTTTTTAACTCGAAGCTTTACAAATTTAATAAATTATGATTTAATAATTTATTAATTTTATAATAAATGATGATATTTGAGCAATTATGAATTTTAATAAAGAAGAAAGTATTTTGTGCATAAGCAATATATGTAAAAGCTAGTTGAAATGAATTTAATAGTTCGAATATTTGAAAAAAAGATGTATTAATGTCCTAGCAAAAATGTGTGACTTTTGAGCGATTCACTATGACGGAGTGAACAAAAGAAGTAGAGGTAGATTGAAAAAGTATTAAAACTATGTGATTAAATAAGATATGATTCACGTGCGACTTACTATGGACATGATCATAAATTAAAAAAAAATGGAGATCAAGAATTAAAATAAAAGGTCAAGTTAGGTAGTTTGAGTGTTGTACAATTCTCTAATCGATTACTCTTCTATTACCACATTCTTTGATTTTAATATACTTGTATTTTCTTTACTTCATTTTATATCGTAGTATTTGTTGTTGCTATTATTTTCGTTTTCTTGTTTTCAATATGACTCTTCATTACCGTATTTGCTTTCTATACTTAATTTTTGACTAAAATGAGATTCTTTTAAAAATAATATCTCTATCTTCAAGATAAAAGTAAGACTATTTATACACTAAATATATTATTATTATCGTAAATAAAAATTATATACAAAATATAGATATTATTATTAAAATCATGTTATTAAAATAAATTGTAAACATAATAGTATCAAAGACTCTCCAACTATTTCATGGCATCTCTACCTTTTTCTGAACGGACCAAAAAGTACAATTTCTCATATTAAAAAATTAAACTAGTGACCAGGAGTATACTTTTCTTTTTTATAAATCTTTATTTAATTTAAACAATAGAAAATTATTATAATTCGAATAACAACGAAAAATTGTTTTAGAAAAAAATAAAAAAACGAAAAATTAATATGTAGGACCCCACCATTAAAAACTTGTGGCTGAAAAAATTAGTGGGTGGGTGACGTGGCACCATGTTTAAATTAAACGATATCTAAATCACTTTCAGTAGAACGCCAACAGGGTTTGCTTCTAAAACCGTATCTCTCGTAGAAAAAAAAATCCACTTTTGAAACGTCGTCAACTCGCCGGCGGCGACTTCGTCGGATACTAAACGAGAATCCCCAGAATAATAGAGTGTTTCTACAGTTTCCCTTTTCGTTTTTTTGAATACCCTTTTCGTTTTAGTCTGGAAAATGACTTGTGATTCAGAGATCAAGCTGTTTGGCAAGATACTCCCGGTGGTCGTCTCCGGCGTTGGTAGGGGTTTGTCTGGTAGTGATGGTGTTATATATGATGGAAATAGAAATGGGTCTGATCTTGATCGATGTTTAGAGGGAAGTAAAGCAAGCAGTGTAGAGAAGGATGAAGGAAGTGAGTATGAAAAGCAAGAAGCTGAAAAGGTACTTCTTTATGTAATTTCTATGGAATTAAAGTGAGAGCCAAATGATTTAATCGTTTAATTTTAATGGGTTTAGTAATTTGGTTCTAATTACTTAGATTTAACAGATGAAATGATTCAATTTTCCTGTTGTCTAATTGGTGATTTTGCTGCTTCTTTTTGCTTATTGTTGATGAATTTTTAATGTGTTTCTATGTGAAGTAGTTTAATTG